CTGTAATAAAGGGTTGTTCTGTATTGAAATTGACTATTGAATCTGTGTTAAAAGGTTGTTTTGTATTGAATTTTCTCTTGAGTCTGTGTTAAAGGGCGGTTTTTTATTGAAATATATGTTGAATCGGTTTTAAAGGGTAGTTTTGTATATAGATTTAATGTTGAATCTGTAATAAAGGGTTGTTCTGTATTGAAATTGACTATTGAATCTGTGTTAAAGGGTAGTTTTGCATTGAGACTTTTTCTTGAGTTTGTGTTAAAGAGTAGTTTTGTATTTAAATTTACTCTTCATTGTGTGATAAAGTGTGGTTTTTATTGAAACTTACTCTTGAGTCTTTGTTAAAACGGTTTTGTATTGGAATTTACCCTTGAATCTGTGTTAAATGGTGGTTTTATATTGAAATTTAATGTTGAGTTTGTGTTAAAGGGTAATTTTGTATTATGTATTGTGACTTGATTATCAGAGAGTTTTTTTTTGTTGACTTTTGGCCACACGTATTATTGTATTATAACATCGTTTTATGTGTTTCTTTTAGCCATCCTCTTTTTGTAAGGGATATTTTCATTGTTGAACGGCTTAACTGTTTTAATTTTTTTCTGTCACGTTATTAATTTTCTTTTGTATGTGGTAGTGTGTAAGAAACCCTTCTAAAGAGGTACTCTTTTTTAAATGTTTAATTTCAATGTATTATAATTTTTTTCTGTGTATTTTTGGTTGTATTGATGAACAAGTGATTCTTTTTGATGCAAGAGTGAATGTTATTTTGACATCGTGAGCTGAAGACCGAACTGGAAATAAAGAAGTGTAAGGCCCCGTACTATGTGTTAACTGTTAAGGCCCCGTACTATGTGTTAACTGTCTCCTAAATTAATATGTAAATTATTTTAAAATTTATGTTTTTTGTTTAGTTCAGTTTGGATGAAGATAGTTGTTTAAGTAATCAACTTAATGTTTTCTTACTCTACATGCACACTGGACTGGGTAGACTAACTGGTTTTTTAACCGTCTTTTTTACAGGAAAAAAAAAGCCGTGACATCACCCATGATGTTCTCAGATGGACAGCTGTCAATTTTGTTAGAGAATTGGGAGACAGCCGGGAGCTTCCTCGCCCCTAGGCTCAAAGTGTATAGCTCTTGGTCACTTGCACCAGAAACATAGCTCGAGCAACCTGGTTTTGTATTCTTGTGTTTTGTATTAAAAGCCAGGAATAAATTTTCGTCTAGGTTTTAGATTTTTGTTAAGATTTCGGCGTTTTAGGTTTAAATTTTTAAGAATTTCAACTGATTCAGGGAATTTTAGTGACATTTACATTGAAATTTTTATACTATTTAATGATTTAGCGTTGGGTATTTAAAAAAGTTTACACAAAGACTTTTCATTGCAGTGACAACAAATGTAAGAGAACGTTTTTTTTAGAGAGAAATACCTAATTTGTTTCTTTTTAATAACTTTCTAGGCTATTTTTGTATAAGTTTAGATGTTGCTTTTGGAGTTTACGAAGTCACGTGATAGCTGTGGCTTAATGACTAGAGTTTTTCTGGAAGTTTAGGAAATGATTTGGGCATATAAAATGTGAGACAATTAATGAACCTCAGTCAGCTGGCTGTTTATTGATTCATGATTCTGTATTGATTAACGAGTTTGTTAATCAGATGTTTGTTGCTTCAGTTTTGTGAACATTTAGCTACTTTTATCGAAGAACTAGAGAACGTGCTGTACGTATGACAGAAAATTAGTAAGTAAAACAGACTGACGCGTTAAAATGTGTTACAATAACTGTGAATTTAGGTTTCTCAGTGAACTTTACTAAAGTTAATTTGATCAGTTTCATAAATAAAACGCTTTCTTTATCATTGAGTGGAATGGAATTTGCATTATTCATTTTACAGAATAAACTTACAAGAGAAATCGTTAAAACGGCAGAACCCCTCCAACAATAGAAACCGTTAGAACGACAGAGCTTGTCCTACAATAGAAACCGTTAAAACGGCAGAACCCGTCCTACAATAGAAACCGTTAGAACGGCAGAACCCGTCCTACAATAGAAACCGTTACAGTAACAGAGCCTGTCATACAATAGAAACAGTTACAACGGCAGAGCCCGTCCTACAATAGAAACCGTTAGAACGGCAGAACCCGTCCTACAATAGAAACCGTTACAACGGCAGAACCCGTCCTACAATAGAAACCGTT